CTATTTCTTTTTCTTGACTTATTGCATTTGCTAGGCCAATATGATGTAGAATGGAGATGGTAAGAACAGACAACCTTGCCTTGTTTTGGATCTTAGAAACAAAGCACTCCATCCTTCACCATTAAGAAGGACATTGGCTGTTAGTTTTCTGTAGGTGCCTTTTATCAGTTTGAGAAAATTCCCTCCAAGTTTGTTGTTTTTATCATGAACTAATGTTGAATGTTGTCAAATGCTTTTTCTGTATCAACTTATATAACCATTTCCCCCCTTTTAGATTAATAGTGTAGATAATAATGATTGATTTTCAAGTATTGAACCAGTCTTGCTTTCCCAGCCCTCAGTTTCCCGACTCTATCATATACTAACTACATCTGCATCCAGGGCTAAGTGGCAGAATAGGCAGTTAAAAAAAAAAAAAAAAAAAGCAATGGAATTTGCCCTAAGCCCAAGGGAGGGTCATAGCTCCACTGCTAGAAAGGTTAGGTGCCTTCCCTCTTGCCACCAGTATAGTACTGCCTGCCTATCCAAATACCTTTCTCCCCATAATAAAATAATCTCGATAAAAGCAAAATTTAAAGGAGGTGTCAAAAGTTGAGTATAAAATCAAAGCTGTAGACTTCATCAAAGTCTGAAACCTCTCTTGAAGAATCATCTGTTATCATCAATCATGATTTATTGATGGAAACTTCATTTCAGCAATTACAGAGTCAGGGGAGATGCTTCCATTTCTGTCACTATATGTGCCCTTAGATGAGAGCCTGACGCCTTCCTGAAGGGTAATGCAATGCAGAAGGGAAAGGGGTGGGTTAACAAAACTGGGATTTCTCCTGCCTTCTCCAATCTCTAGTTCTCTGTCCTGTTCCTCAGACCTGAAGGAACCTCTCCTGGGGTTTTCTTTTCACACCTGGAGAACAATTCCAGGTTTCAGGAGCCTTCAAGTCCAGGTCAGCTGATAACTAGAGAGGGGAAAAAGTGGTGAACTACTCATTACTAGCTTGGTGAACCTTCAAATTTTGGCTTGCCAGCTATCTGCTTATTCCCACTTACAGGTTCCATGCAGTTGGTCCAGGACTAATACTTTCACTAAGAGAAACAAAGAGTATGCTTACTCTAGCTTTCCTAAAACATAGACCTTACTATATTTAATTTGTGAAACAAGACAGGAAAGGCAAATGCTTTGAAATTCTAATTTAAAAGTATGTGCTATGAGCTTATGTTTTAAAACTGTGTATTAATTTCCTTTTTTTTTTAAAGATTTATTTTTTATTTATACAATAGTTGGGGTACAGGCTAGAGGCGTGGGAGGGTGAGAGGATTCACCAGAGACAGAGTGGGGAGCAGAACAGGCAGACGGACCAAAAGCACCGTTGAGGGGAGCAGCGGGCGCGACAGGAGAGGTCTGCTGCGCCATGTGGGAATCTCCCTGACCGGCCGGGGATCGAACCCGCGCTGCAGAGGCTGTGGACAGCTTCACAGCACCATGTTCAACCCGCTATGCCACCAGAGATGTCCTAAAACTGTGTATTAATTTCTTGTGAAGCTTCCAAAATGTATCACTGTTTTTTCACTTGGCACTTTTCAGAAAAAAGTGTAATTTCTTCTCTTAGACACCTGTTAAGGCTCTTTGTGTAAGTAATAGCAAAAGTGTCTCGCTAATTTAAACAAAAAAGAAGTTCCAAGCACAGACCTTCCATATAGGTGCGAGAGGTTTGTGTTGTGAAAAAACCACAAAGGAAGAGAAAACCAAACTCATGAAGTGAAGACAGGCTAAAAGAGCCAGCTCTGAAAGAAGCCAGCCTGTTCTGAGAAGCCGGAATGCTCAAAAAGCCATGACAAAGCTTTTTGTTTCAAAAAATAAAGTTCTAAGACAGTGTGTCTGATGCACCAGCCCCACAAATGGCTAAGGCCCCAAAAGAAAATCAAGGTGCTGCCACACAAGATGCAGGCAAGAATGCAGCACAGCAAAAGCAACAGATGACCATGTCTGCAGGAACATGCCCCACATATCCTCTCTGTTCTCCAAAGCAAGCTGAGGGGATTTTTTGTTATGAAGAAAAAAACCAACAAAGTCTCAATATCAGTAACAACTTCTAGAAGCTGTGCTCAAAATTCCTTTATACTTTTCAAATGCTAAGGAGACCCCAAAGAGCTTTTGTTTGAGTTATATCTGTTGATAGCCACTGTATTAGAAATATAAAACTGAGAAAATTTAAAAATATTTATTAATTCATTAAAAAATAACAAACTCATTACAGATAACACAATAACATCTTTATGAAAAAGTACTTTTTTTAAAAACAAAAGTTTAATGAGGAGGGTGGCACTGTATTACATTTTTGCAAATCTCCTTAATATCTGGCTTAATTGAAGAAAGGTGGATTCTAGTATCTGCTTCTACATTCATTTTGTTCTGATGTCATTTTAAGGTATATTAAAAAACCCAGCCTCGAACAGATATAAAGTTGGAAAAGGGAGGAATATTTTAATAGCCTCCCAGAAAATTTAATAGCCCTCCCAGAGCTATTCTTTGATTCTACACCAAACTTTGACAAGGAACTTTTCATAATCTGTTACATTAAAGCCTGTTAATCTATCTTGCATGTGAACTGGATCTTTTTACCCATGATTTTATAATCTCGTGCATTGATCTTATGGAAAATATTGGTTCAATGAGTTATGTAGATTTTTCCAAATGTTGACACATTCCTTAAAAATATTGTTTAAATCATAGTTGTTAATATCACCACACCAAAACATTGGGAAGCTACCAACCACATGAATACAAGTTTTCCAAAATTCTTAATTTCACTTGAAAACTTGAATTCTCTCACTAGCAACAAACACTGTCAACTATTTCCCTTGAAATGACAGGTTCACTTTGTTTTTCAAGAAAATTACTGCAAAATACCAACATCTGAATAACCACAGTTATTAAGTTCTGTCAAGTAAAAATGATATCCCATTAAAAAAGCAGTTTAATCAGCATGCAACTCAATCACACATGCTTTTCCGGAGGACAACCAGTTGCTTAGGCAAAATTTCTATTTTGTCACATGAAATACTGAAAAGATGTCTGTTCAACGGTCTAGACTTAATGAAATTAATTTTTTTTTTTTTTACTATTCATCAAAGGCATTCTTAATTGAAACTGGCTTTTTTTTTTTTCCTGCAAGCACAGGCAGTAAAGACTGCAGTGACAACCAGTACAGCTTACCACAGCTCGTACTAAAGCAGCAGCAATTTTACCCATCATTGTTTTTGCACCAATGTTTTGGCAACATTATGAAAATAATTTTGAACTCTGAAAGATCCTGGAAACCCCTACAGACTTCCAAACCACACATGAGAAGTTCTAACTTAGCAAACAGCTTACTGATACACTTTAAAAAGTAAAATTCTTTTAAATAAGTTTTTGTGATACTTTACAAAGTTTAAAAGCATCAAAAAGTCTCACTGAGCCTAGGTATCTCATGGCATTTTCCCAAGGATGACCATTAACAGGTTCTATGACTCTACATGAGAAAAAAATTTTTTAACATAAATTTAAGAGACAAGTGATACATTATCATTTAATAACTAGGATATCAAGATAACTGTGGCTAGCCTCTAAAATAGTCCTCAAATCTCTCAACTTCCTGCATAGTCCCATTTTACACACTAATCCAGAGTTGGTATAGTCTTTGTGACCAAGAGTATATGGCAGAAGTGATGACACACTTCCTAGACTGGTTATAAAAGACTTGTTTCTCTCTTTCCTTCTTTCTGCACTCTTGCTTTCTTGGATCACTTGCCCGAGGGGAAGCAAGCTACCAAACTATATGCTACCATATGGAGGGGTGAGGAGCTAAGTCTTCAGATAAGAGCCAGTAAGGCAGTGAGTCCTTGGGGTAGTTTGTTAAACAACAGTAACAATAATGCCTTGCCAATACGTCTTTTCTGGTATTTCTCCTCCACCACAAACCTTATCTATACCCAAAAAAATTTTTTTTGTTGAAATTATACTAAAAATATTTACTTGAAATTATTTCTCCCTGAAACTGAGTAATAGTATCTAGGTATTCTTTGCAAGACCAAAAGTAGTTCCTACCCAAGATCCTTAACTGAATAAATATATCTGTACCTCACATACTAGTTTTTTTTTAATGGTACCTGAGCACCAAGCATACAGCCAAGGACAGAAAGTCTTTCTTGCTAAGCAAGATTTTACCTCCCACCCCCTCAGCCCACTTTGAGATCCCATCCTTTTAGAGTACCCTTTTATTTTCTTACCTGTTTCCTTACTTTCCACCAAGGCAGTGCTGAGCTATTTTTCTTCATCCCCCACCTGAGCATCTGCTTCCACACCTCCAATCTCAGTTATTGGAAAAGAACAGTTTTCCCGACTGATTCCCATAGACACTTGTATGTTTTAAATAAATGTAAGTTCTACTAGTTGAAGCTACCTGAACCATGACACAAATTCCTAGACACTTCACTGATTTTTTTTCTTGTCAAGAACATTGCCTGTGTCAGCCTCCTACCATTACTGTTTTTCTCACTGGCTGAAACTCCCAGCACCTGACTCTGCTGTTCAAAGGGAATGTTCTCTAAACTTCTCTTTCTATAGATAATTGCATGACATAACTCATCCATATCCCAAGGCCCCCGCTATTCTTAGTTTATTATAAACAAAGGTGACCAAACTCTAAGCTAGTTACATCTAGCCCTTTCGCAGTAAACCTGAATGGTGTAATAACTCCCAAAACGTTACTCTTCAGTGCCACCGCTTTCCTGCAACTGTGGCCCTCTGGCCAAAATCGTAATAGCTGGGTACTTGCCATTAAGGATTCTAAATCTGAACTGGAAAGAGGTGGCCTGAAGAGAGAACATGTGGAATTTCACTTGCATTCTCCATCCATTTTTCCACCACACCACACAGAAAAGTTAAGCATTGTATCCTGAAAGACCTTTGATTTTTGTTATTATAATAATAAAAAAAAGAAATAAAAATAGAGCCTTACAGCCTCCTTGACCAGTTTTCTACTGGATTCGACCACTGCCTCTGTCAGTGTAAATTCCGTTTTAATCATCTCCAGCACATTGATAGCTGATTCCAGTGGCGTGAGCTCAGCCTCCATATCAAAGGAACAGTCTAGGACAAAGAGCACAGTTTTCACTTTAGGCTGTTTTCTAAGGAGTGGAAAAAGCTATGTCCAAATATGTATATATTTTATCAAAACATGCAAATACAGTAGGAAAATTTGCATTTAAATGGTGGACTAGCTACAGGCTTTTTATAAGCATGTTGAAAGTTCAAATTAATGAAGTGACTATCTTTTAGCATTTTAAAGGCAGGTTAAAAAAACTTTTAACACATGCATTTGAATCTCAAATTTCAGGATACACACATCCCCCTCAGATACAAGCAGTCAGAAACTAAAGACAGTTTTGCTAAACACCTGTCAAGTTCAATTCAGGGGGAAAAGACGTGCCTGAGAACCCACTTTACAATGGGAAAAAGATGTCCGTCCTAACTCACTTTATATAGCACCAAAATCGGGGCGAGCAAGAAACAGGTGGGAGAGGGGGTTAAAAAAAACAAAACAAAACAAAACACAACCAGAAAAGCAGCCAAGAGATTCTTAAGTGGAGGAAAAAAACTAGAGCCAGAGAAAAGACTTATCCTAGAAGGAAGACCGCTGTGATCAAAACATAGTACCGCACCTTCAGATCCGGATCTAAGTTTGAAAACAACAGACCCCTAAATAAGTAAGCTCAGAGAAGAACACCGAAACAGCCATACCTAAATTTTCCCCTTCTTCAATGCGCGACAGACACTGCATAACCCGCAGCAGCCGGGACACGGTGTGCTCCTTCCCCAAGGGCCTGACAAGCAAAGCTGGGAAAGAAGACATCATTTGCTCGGCGCCCCCCGATCCCGACCCCGGCGCCCGAAAGCTCCCCCTCCCAGGCGACCCCGCCTCCGGCCCCGGCCCGGCCCGGCCCTCACCCTGCATGATGTCCCGGATCTGCCTGAAGTCCCCGTACCGGCTGCCCCGAAAGGCCCGCAGCGCCTCGTGGAAGTAGAACTTGAGCACCCAGCGGTTGACCGCCTCTTCCAGCCGCGCTTCCCCCGCGCCCCGCTCCGCGGCGCCACCCAGCCCCGGCTCACGGCGCCCCCGCCGAGCCCGCCCGCCGCTGCGGGACGCCCGCCGGCCGGCCGACCGCCCGCTGCTGTCGCCGCTCCCGCCTCCTCCCGCCATCGCGTCCGCTCGCCGCGCGCCCTCCCCGCCCTCCCGGCCCGGCCGCTTCCTCGGCTGTGACGCCGCCGGGTCACGCACGACGCCCGGGCCGGAAGCGGGGCCCGCCGTCCCGGCTCCCGCGGCCATGATACGAACGCGCCGCGAGCCGCCCGCAGGCTTCTGGGAGGGAAGGGACCGTAGGGCCCAGCCCCCTCTCGGACGCCGTAGTTCCCGGCGAGCCCGGCGCAAAGCCTGCTGGGGCGTGACGTGCGGGCCTCCCGGGCGGCGAGCCCCGCGCCCGGCGGCGTGGGCCGTTCAGAGGCCGGCTGGCTGCGGGGCTGTGCAGCGCCGCGCTGCGGACGCGGGTTACGTCCACGATGCCAAAAATAAGTACCTGCAGCTCATCCAACACTCTCCAAAGGCAGAATGTCGCGCACGGAAAACAGTTTATGAAGCGTACGTGCGCGCGAGCCCGTCCTGGAGGAAACAAAGAGCGGCGCTCGCCCGGGGAGGTCGGCAGGTGCGGCGTGTCCGGCGCCTCTGGACGTGGCATAACTTTACTGCAAAAGTAGCACATTTTGCTGCGGGACAATTAGGAAAAGATAAGCAAAAGGATGACATAAATCACTCATAATCTCACATGAAAAAATAAGTTGGCATTTAGGTTTGCAGTCTTCCAGTTCCGGTTGCGTACGTGTGTGTGTGCGCGCGCGCGTGTGTGTGTGTGTGTGTGCGCGCGCGCGTGTGTGTGTGTGTGTGTGCGTGTGTGTGTGTGTTGCTTTTGGCAAGGTGCAGGCTCCCTACATGATGTTTAAAGTCTGAAAAGGTCTTCTGCTAGCCAAACTCAGTTTTAGGCTCACCAGCGTGTATAAACTCCTATCATTTCCTTTTCAACTTGCTCCTCAGTTGGTTTGCAGCGTTTGTCTTACCCATTCCAGCCTAAATCTTTCTTGTCCTGCAAGCCTCATTTTAAAAATACTTGAGGGCCTCCCCAGTGGCGCAGCGGGTTGAGCACAGCGCTGTGAAGCTGGCCGTAGCCTCTGCAGCGCAGGTTCGATTCCCAGCCGGCCAGGGAGATACCCACATAGCAAGGCAGACTTCTCCTGTGGCGGCCACTGCTTCCCTCAGCAGTGTCTTTGTTAGGGGGAAATGATGTCCTGAGTTAATCCCATACAGGCTTTGTGGACCCCACCCCCACTCCAGACTAAAGCCATCAAGACATTGGGAAAGACAAATCCCATCACCACCAAAGGGAGGGTGGCTGGGACCTGAGGTTAAAATTGGGCAGCCAGGTTGGATATAAAAACCAAACACGTGGTGGGCCTCCCCGGTGGCGCAGCGGTTGAGCGCTGGGTTGCGAAGCTGCCCACAGCCTCCGTGGCGCCGGTTCGATCCCCGGCTGCTCCCCGGCCCCGGAAGAGGATCCCACATGGTGCGCAGACCTCTCCTGCCACCCGCTGCTCCCCTCAGCAGTGTGCTTCGGTCCTTCTGCCTGCTCTGCTCCCCGCTCTGGCTCTGGTGAATTCTCTCACCCTCCCGCGCTTCTGACTGTACCCAGTGCATGTATAAACAAAAAAAAAACAAACAAATATAATAAATAAATAAATAAATAAAACATGCCTCTATAAAAAAAAAAAAAAAAAAACTAAAAAAAAAAAAAAAAAAAACCAAACACGTGGGCCTCGGGGTCTCTCTGGCTCGCGATAGCTCGCCTCCTGGCTTCACTGCTCCTGGCTGGCGGCCAACTCTGAGAGCGCCATTTTGGGATTCCTGATCGGCGGATTGGGTAGGACTCATTTAAAACTTTGTCTCCCACTTTTCTTCCAGAGCTGTACATTTCCTCATTTCCCCTTCCCTTGTAAATAAACCTTTTTTTATTAACCTTTCACGTGTGCCTGCAGTAAAGCATTGATAAGTCCTTTTAAGCGCGCAGGTAAGGACCCACAGTCAGGCACCCCGTTTTGTATGGGGTTGCTCTACAACATCTTCAGTCCTTCTGCCTGCTCTGCTCCCTGCTCCATCTCGGGTGAATTCTCTCACTTTCCCCACCTCTGGCTTGTACCCCAGTGCTTTTATAAATAAATCTTAAAAAATAATAAAAAAATTTCACCCTTTCTTAATTTTATGAGCTGCTGCTCCCTCCTTAGGATCCTCTTATTTCACCTTCTGGAAACGTTCTCCACAGTTAGCTCTTGTTTGGGAAGGCACCCTGTTTGCTTGTTGATACTACACCACAGATCCTAGTCCAGGGCCTGACGCATTTCTTGACTTTGTGTTGACTTGATTAGTCACATGAGTAAGGCTTTGTATACACACTGAAAAACTGCCACCAGGGAATTATATTTATGCAAATAGGAATGTTCTTGGAGTTCCCATTTCTTATCTGTTTGTATCAGGATGTATCAGTTTGTATCAGGATGTTGGAACAGCTAACTACTTAATTTTATAACTACTCAGTATGGCTTCCCTGTGTTATTTTCTCCCTTCCTCCTCTTGTGGAATAGACTTGAGAGCACTTCAAAAGGAAAGTCATGATCCCTCTCCTCCAGCTACTCTTCTTGTCCAACTCTGGTTCCAAGTCCATGTCCAGCCCCATCTGCTGGACTCATTCTTGAACTTACTTTCTTCACATTTCTATAATGAGATTGCCACGTTGATCTTGGAGCGTCTATTCCCCACTTCTTTAGGTATGTCATTGTGTGAACTGCCACAGCAGGAGAGCAAGTAAATGAGGGGCATTTCCAGTGGACTCAGTAGGCCTGGAATGGGTATGTATAGGAAGCAAATGGCAACGTATGGTGTGAGTCATTGTCAGGCATCAATTATGCACTTGGAATTCACCACCCAGTATCTAGTCTGAATAGAGGAATCCTGGTTCTGATGGGTGCACTTCCCTGAGAGGCTCTCTAACTGGTTGAGCTTCAAAGGCTATTCTATCAGTCTCATAAAACTGGAACCAACAAAGTTGCAGTTTGGGGCCACTAGAGGACAACTCAAAAGGACATGTGGCAACATCATTGAGTTGATGAAAACATGTTGGCTGCTTGAATTATACATTAATCTGTGTAGTATCCTGGACTGACCAAATCTCCATAGGGTTGCCAATCCAGAATACTGGAAGAGGCCTCTCAGTCTGACAGATCTTTAGTGACCGTGACTGCTTTGCCCTCTTAGCCTGCCCGCCTTAACGAAAAACCGAATTACCTATTTTAAATCCTGACCGTTCTGCTTGCTAGATGTATTACCTGGAGTACGTTCCTTAACCATCTCTGTGCCTCTGTTTCCTCGTCTGTCAAGCATAATTAACAGCATTACCTCATAGGGGTTGTATGAAAATTGAATTGTCATTTCCAGTGCCCTTAGTGCAGAACTCAGCTTATTGTAACAGATTGTTATACGTAAGCTATTTTTATTAACTCATTCAGTGCCTGCCTGGAAAGTCTTTTCTTATCTTTTCTATTTAAAAAAAAAAATAATAATTTTTGGCAGTTCTCCTCCCTGCCCGTGACTGTGTAGGTGCCTTTCTTTTTCTGTCTCCTTTTCGTAATAAACCTGTCTTTTTAAAATGTAAAAAAAACAAAAACACCTAATTTTTCTTTTTTAAATTATGAAGTAACATGTAAAGTACCTAAGTATTAAGTGTACAATTTGATGCATCTTCTCCTTATTTTTCAGAGCCTTACCATCATCTGGTTTTCGCAACACCACCCCACTCTCTTCCTTATTCACTGCTCATACCCAAGTGTTGAGGGCTCAGCTTTGAGGATCTTCACTGCTTCACACCCTACCCCTGGGCACCAGCAGGCGGCAGTGTGGTATAGGAGAGAGAGACCAACAGTGGCCAGGTAGAAGACAGCAAGCTTATCCTGACCCAGCGATTTGCTGACGGGTAAGAACTTAAACTCGAGTAGCCTCGTTTCCCCCATCTGCTTTAGAGGCAAGACTTTTACTAAATGGACTTCGTAGGATTGTAGTGAATATAAATGAGATGAAGTTTGTCAGTAATGCCTGACATATCCCAATGAAATTAGCAAGGCTTTTAAAATATATAATACCTAGTGTCAGGGAGCATGTTGTGAAACAAGCATTTTCATCCAGTGTTGATGAGAGTACAAACCTTCTGGAGAGCAACCCAAGAAAAAACAAACAAGAACCATAAAAAATCCATTTTTTAGAAAGTCAACCTATGGTAATAATCATCAATGAGCACAAAGATCTAAGTATAAGGATTGTCATCACAGCATTACTTATAATGTACAAAAATTGAAAGTCAAAAGATCTTTGCTAAAATAAATCATGGTGTGCTCATAGTAAGGAATTTTAATCTGTGGTGAAAGCCTCCCCCATAAAAATAAACAAATGTGTACCCAAAGAGTATTTCATTCTCAAGATATAATAACAAAAAAAGATACAAACATATAATGTGACCACAAATTTATATAAATGAGAATCACATTTTAAAAATTTGTGGAGCTTTTACTACAATATTTACCGGGTACTATGCTAGAGTGTTTTATCTCCTTTATGTTGCTTAATCTTCATCAAAGTCCTACAAAATAGGTGTTACTGTGCCAGTTTTGTAGATGAATAAACTGAGACTTCAGGAAGTTACATGACTTGTTCAAGATATCATAACAAGTGCATGTCTGAGGCAGATTTTATTTTATTTTTTAAGATTTACTTATCCCAGAATTGGGGTACAGGCCAGAGGTGTGGGGGGTGAGAGAGCTCACCATAGACAGAGTGGGGAACTGAACAGGCAAACTGACTGAAATACACTGCTGAGGGGAGCAGCGGGTGAGTCAGAAGAGGTCTGCTGCATCCTCCCTGGCCAGGGATTAAACTTGTGCTGCAGTGGCTGCTGAAGGCTTCATAGGTTGCATCTTAACCCCTTGCGCCACCAGGGATGCCCTGAGGCAGATTTTAAATAGAGATCTATTTTATTTTTTTTTAAAGATTTATTTATTTATGCCTACAAAAACTGGGGTACAGGCCAGAGGTGTGGGGGGTGAGAGGATTCACCAGAGACAGAGTGAGGAGCAGAACAGGCAGATCTACTGAAATACACTGCTGAGGGGAGCAGCGGGCGAGACAGCAGAGGTCTTCTGCGCCATGTGTTTCTTTTTTTTTTTTTTTTTTATAGAGGC